TCCCAATTGGGCCTGCCTGAAAAACGGGCAGGCGGACACAATCGGAACGTTTGTGTGAAAGAGCCCTTTACCAGAGAAGAGTAGGAAATTTGAACTGGCTCCACCCTTTGAAAAAAGACACGAGAAAAGAAAAAGGAAAACAGTTTCAAATGAAAACTTTCTTGATTTGTCTGTATATAATAAAGAAGCAGTGTTGTTTAAATAGTGCACCTTTGCATCAAACCAGGGGTCTCCATACTTTCTCAACAAAGGGCCAGTTTACTGTCTTTCATATTTTAGGGGTGCTGGACATTGGTATCGGTGAGAGGAATAGTGCCAAGTCGTTGGTATCAGTGGGAGGAAAAGTGCCCAATAGTTGGTGTCAGTGGGAGGAATAGTGTGTCATATCAGCAAGAGGAACAGTGTCCCAAGGGCCAGATAAAAGCAAGCAAAGGGCCACATCCAACCCTCGGGCCATAGTTTGGAGACCACTGCATTAAACAACCAACTGCATATGATTTCAGATTTGAATTTGAATGAAAGATAAGACAATGTTATAATGTTATAAATACATGAGTTTACATGGGTCTCTCTGGGTTGATAAACATTGCATTGAACTTTCCCCATTTCCACGTAATCTGATTTTTGACACATGTCCGTTTACACCCGCCACTCCATAGAGGAGAATGAAGGTCCCAATTGGGCCTGCCTGAAAAACAGGCAGGCGGACATAATCAGAACGTCCGTGTGAAAGATCCCTTTACCAGAGAAGTGTAGGAAATTTGAACTGGCTCCACCCTTTCAAAAAAGACACGAGAAAAGAAAAAGGAAAACAGTTTCAATTGAAAACTTTCTTGATTTGTTTGAATATAATAAAGAAGCAGTGTTGTTTAAATAGTGCACCTTTGCATCAAACCAGGGGTCTCCCTACTTTCTCAACAAAGGGCCAGTTTACTGTCTTTCATATTTTAGGAGGGCCGGACATTGGTGTCAGTGAGAGGAATAGTGAGAAGTCGTTGGTATCAGTGGGAGGAAAAGTGCCTAATCGTTGGTGTCAGTGGGAGGAATAGTGAGAAGTCGTTGGTATCAGTGGGAGGAAAAGTGCCTAATTGTTGGTGTCAATGGGAGGAATAGTGCCACGTCGTTGGTATCAGTGGGAGGAAAAGTGCCTAATCGTTGGTGTCAGTGGGAGGAATAGTGAAAAGTCGTTTGTATCAGTGGGAGGAAAAGTGCCTAATCGTTGGTGTCAATGGGAGGAATAGTGCCACGTCGTTGGTGTCAGTGGGAGGAAAAGTGCCTAATCGTTGGTGTCAGTGGGAGGAATAGTGAGAAGTCGTTGGTATCAGTGGGAGGAAAAGTGCCCAATCGTTGGTGTCAATGGGAGAAATAGTGCCACGTCGTTGGTATCAGTGGGAGGAAAAGTGCCCAATTGGCTGTGTCAGTGGGAGGAATGGTGCCCCATTGCTGTTGTCAGTTGTAGGAATAGTGTGTCATATCAGTAAGACGAACAGTGTCCCAAGGGCCAGATAAAGGCAAGCAAAGGGCCACATAAGGCCCCCGGGCCACAGTTTGGAGATCACTGCATTAAACAACCAACCGCATATGTTTTCAGATGTGAATTTGAATGAAAGATAAGACAATGTTATAATGTTCTAAACACATGAGTTTACATGGGTCTCTCTGGGTTGCTAAACATTGCATCCAACTTTCCCCAATTGCACGTAATCTGATTTTTGATGTGCTCTGCTTCTCTAATCACCAGGTCGCAGCACGCCACTTGTAGGAGTGTTCTCTTGATTTGATCCATCATCAGCAGTAAGCATCAGCATGTTTTAATCAACAGGTGCTACACAGCTGTGCTTCATTACCCCACTTTGCATATATGCTAATTGGCTTGGAATATTCTGTCCACAAATCCCGGGGAAGAAACAGCATGGCGGTCTGTAATAAAGTATCCAGAATACTTGCTTTGGTTGACGATTTTCTCTCTCATACTCATTTTGATGGAAGAAAAAAAGGGAGTAATTGGACTTTATAAAAATTTAAACAGCATTAAAATGTAATTGCAGGTTTAGACAATTTGTGATGTACAGTATAATTATCGAAGACAAAATATTCCAGCAATATGAAATATGCAGTAATGATTCTTTCATCAACTTTCTTTTTCAGGGGGAGAAAGGAGTTGTCTAAAGAGAGCAATGAGTCACACTATGGCCTGGACTATGGGCTGACATAAATGGGCTTTTCTTCTCATACAAACAGGAAAATTGCCAATTAAGACTGCAGTAATTTGGGATTATCATTACTTTCTCATTTGATGGAGTTAAAGTGTTCCTAAACCCACAACAGTAAAATCAGTCTGTACATGTTGTAAAGCATGCTTGTTATACTCACTGTGGAACCTAAGGGGTTAATCCTCTGCATTGTGTAAAAAGGCTGTTTGATCCTGGCTTCTCTAATCCTCCCCTTCTTCCAGTGTCCCCCTCTTATCTTCTGATAAGAGATATCGTGTGGAGTCACTCTGCACATTCTCAGTTTGGTTTGTATTGCTAGAGAGGTTTTTTTTTTTCTTGGGAGACTGCATGTGATCGGCACAGGGCAAATCAGAGCTGTCCAGACAGAGGTAAGAGGTTCTGCATCCTCCTAGAGCAAAATGAAAACTTCTTCTACAAGTCTTAACCAGTGCTCGGCTGGACACTGATAGAAGTCACAAGACTGCTCTAACTGCTGATGAGAAAAGGTATTTAGCAGTTTATATTTACTAAAATAATTGCATTTCCATGTTGTGTGTACTGTGGGAGACCAGATATTGCGTATGCAGGGTCCTAGGTTTAGTAACACTTTAAAGTGTAGTTTATGAATAGCTGAAGTGTATGTAATGGCAAATTTTCATTCTTTTTTTTTTTTAGACTAAGCAGGGAGTATTGCTGCCTGTGTCCTTGCTAGGGAGAGTAACCCTCCCTATTTGTACTGGTGACCATTGTCACTGGGAGAGAAAAGGGGTGTATTTATAAAACAAATTGCATAGCTGTTCATCTATTGAAACTACATGTAAATTCTGTGCAAAGAGGCCAAAATCGATTTTTTTTCCAGGCTATACTCTCTGCAATTAGAATTTCTGAATGTGGAAAATACTGCATTATGGCCACTAGCTGGTGCTGAGGAGCATACTTATTTGCTATGTTAGACCAGTGCTGACCATAATGTAATATGGCCACTAGATGGCACTGACCATAACTACAACAGAGGGTCACTTACTCTGCACCACCACCATTCACAGAATGTATTTTTTTAATGAATAAAAGTTGTCCTCTGATTGGACGAGGTGAAGAGGTGAAGTGGTGACTGCATCCAATCAGAGAATGCTTTGAATTCACTGAAAAAATACAAAATGGTCCGTGAATCACGCCACTGCCAAGTGACTGATCCTCTGTGGTCCCAGGAGTTTGCTGCTGTCACTGTAATAGTACTGACGTCCACAGTGATTGTCAGCTTTCATAACAGTCCCTCACGTATGGGATATGCATACTTACATTGGTCCAAGCTGGATAAATGTAAGATCAGCAACAAATCAGTTCTGCAGCCTGGATATGCTGTGTGGCAGTGCTGTGTAAATCTTAGGACTGGATGCACCAAAATACAAATTAATAAACAGATAAAACAACTCCATTATTTGTATTTCATCCGTGTACTTAGTTGTTTGCCTGGGCTTCAGCATTAAAACTGATGAAAATGGAAACATGGCAAAATGTAAGTGCGGCAAGTACTGTATACTTACGGAGTTAGCTACTGCTGCATTAGGCTTGTAACAGGCTTACATTAAAGTGGTTGTAAACATCAGACATGAAGTATGAACAAAGCATATCCCTCTATAGTGTGTCCTTGTCTCGATCCAGAGCACTAAGTGTCATTTCTGTCTGCTGCCTTGTCGCTCTGCTAACTGCATGAATCATTTCCAACAAGTTTTACTGACACCAAGAGAAAAATGATGACAGCCTCAGCTCTGCTCCTGTGAGCTGTGTGGAGGAGGTATGTGTCTCTTCCCACCAATCAGCTCTCAAAGCTCCCCTCACTTATGTACCTTCAGCCCCCTGCTTCTCAGAGCTGAGAGATCCTGTGTAAATTCTGCACTTTGAATGGATGTAAGGCAAAGACAGCAGTAGATACATAAGTACAACTTGTGTAGGAGGATTTGTCTCATCTCTATCTATCACCTGAGGCCAGTCACTTCACTGGGTATATGTAGGGGTTTACAAACATTGTGAATAATTCTTTCACTTATGTGACTATATTGAAGGTATATCATAAAACATGGTCATACATTTACAACCCCCCCAAACCCCCTCCCCCCATCCCGTGGAAGTGCAAGGCCCACCTATCCAGGCTAGTCCTCCATTCATAGATCCACTGACGGGATCTGTGAATGACAATACTACATCTGTCACTGCAGCAGAGGGATTTGTAGATCTCAGTGGTGCACAAGTGTGGTGACATCATTAGTAGTCCATTGATTACCTCCTCCAGCCCCCATAACAGTAAGTCCATAGCTGGTTACAGCTGATGGCTGTAATGTTCTGCAGGATTCACAGTAAAAATAAAATAAAGTTTAGCTTTTTTTTTTTTAAACCGCCTCCCGTTCGCCATATAAGGAAATGACGGGCGCAAGGCGGTTCTCTCATTCTGGGAGGATGTCACATGATGTCCTCCCACTCTAACCTCGTATGCGTGGCTCAGGGAGCGCGCAGCATGGCAATCGGTGGTGTACTATGTCCCTCGGACACAGCGGATCACCGATCAACGGAAAGAGCCAAAGACGTCGGCTCGGTCATGTGATCAGATGTGTCCAATCACGGCTGATCTCATGTAAATAAGGAAATGCCTGCTATCAGCATGGAGAGGAGAGCCGATAATAGGCATTACTCAGAGGGGACATGTACACTAATCATCAGGGCACTGATAATCAGTGTAGCCCCAGCAGTGCCACTTCAATGCCACATTGTCCATCAGTGCCACCTGCCAGTGCCCATCAGTGCCACCTGCCAGTGCCCATCAGTGCCACCTGCCAGTGCCCATCAGTGCCACATCAATGCCACATATCAGTGCCTACCAGTGCACATCAATGCCGCATATCAGTGCCCATCTGAACTGCCTTTCATTGCCACCTATCAGTGCCAGTCAGTGCCACCTAGCAGTGCTGCCTATCAGTGCCACCTATCAGTGCATGTCAGTGCCGCCTATCAGTGCTGCCTATCAGTGCCACCTAACAGTGCCAGTCAGTGCCGCCTATCAGTGCTTCCTATCAGTTCCATCTATCAGTGCTGCCTTTCAGTGCCCATCAGTGCAACCTACCAGTGCCTCCTCATCAGTGCACATCAGTGAAGGAGAAAAATCACTTATTTACAAAATTTTATAAGAAAAACTAAGAAAAAATGTTTTTATTTTTTCAAAATTTTCAGTTGTTTTTTGGTTTGTTTAGCAAAAAATAAAAAAAAAAAACAGAGGTGATTAAATACCACCAAAAAAAAGCTCTATCTGTCTCAAAAAAATGATAAAAATTTCATATGGGTACAGTGTTGCATGACCGTGCAATTGTCATTCAAAGTGTGACAGTGCTGAAAGCTGAAAATTGGCCTAGGCAGGAAAGGGGTATAAGTGCCCTGTAGGCTAGTGGTTAATCACCTCAAGGGATGGTACTTACATTGTGCTGGTGGCTGCTTTGTGCTTTGTCTATTGAAGTGTTTATTCCTCTGACGCCCTTACCCCCCCCCCCCCCCCAATATCTCAGCAGCTTTGACCTTCTAGTGCTAAAGAGGATAATATGCGCTGCTGGACCTGGCAGAGGCACTTGTCAAAAGTGCCAATTATGTTTGCCCTTTCTTCCCCTCCTCCATTCATAGAAGCTGTACTATTGCTTCCCACAATGAAAACCAATGTATGAATGAAAAACAGGCTGCTGAATGAAAGCTCCACCTCCTGCACTCATAGAGCACTTTTCATTGTGAGAAATGATAGTACAGATTTTATGAATAAAAGAGGGGGAGGCATAGTCAGCAATTTTGTGACTGGGTCAGTGGCTCATATTAACCCCACAGCACCAGAGGATCACAACTGTGGGAAAATGGGTGGGGGAAGTAATGAACATTTCTATGAACAGAGCCACCAGCACAAGGGACACACTTTATTCAATGTAAGTACTGTCCCTGGCGCTGATTTGAAAATAAAACACTAAATGTATGCTTTAAATTAATCTGGGCGCATGTATTACATGTTTGCAAAAGACAGACTTATTTCTAATGTTCTCTCTTATGTAGCGCCCCTTTAGATTGCTAGGGGTAGCTACTTGCATTCTTCTTTTTTTTGTGTTAGTCTGAGCAGCAGCCTGGGGGAAATAGTCAGCAGTTCCAAATTTGGGTCAGGACTGAGAGGCTCTGCAGGTCAGTTCCTTAATACCCCCCCTTGCTCTAGAATCTTTGAGAAGATTCTAGAAGCTGTGGGCGGGGGTGAGGAGGGGCTGGCCTGCACACTCAGAGGACTTTGGCCAATCCCCAAGTTAGAGGCTTGGCATGGGGTCAGAGCAGTCTTTATTTGTGCTTGAGCCTGCTCAGTAGCAGGAGAGTTCAGGTGGAATATGTGAGAGAGGAAGGGATGCAGGAGCATGGGAGGGGGCCCAGTGGGAAGGGCCTATCTTCAGGCAGGGACCTTGAAAGGAGGATCACTCAGCCTCACCATTCCCCGGAGGGAGGACTACCTGTGCAGCCAGGAAAGGAGCCAGCCCAGCAGAAGGCCTAAATGCAGTTACCTACTTAATCCAGCTCACAGGCAAAGACTAAATGAGTAATCCTACACCCCCTGGGCCTTTTGAGTGAAAAAGAGCATTCTGGTGGGAAAACTGACTATAGCAGAACTATAGGAGGGCCCAAATCTTCAGCAACTCCTAAGGGGGAAGTGCTACACTTAAATACATATTTTTCTGATAATTTTCTTTTCAGTTATTAAAACTGTAATCTTGATGGGAATTGAGTTGTCTGTCTCTGTTTCTTTTACTGAACTCCCGTATTGTATAAGGCAGATTTAGTAGTCATTGCAGTGTATATAAATGAGAAAGGCACAGGTTAGTAAAGATTTACTGCATTGCAGCAGACCATGGTAGCATTGTATTGCACATTGTGTACCTCTAAAGGGTTATTGGAGATGTTTTTGTATAAACCGATCACTGATTGTATACCAATACTTATTATTTTGTGCCCTAATGATATGAAAATGAGTCACTGTCCATAGGTCATGCTATGATAGAGTTAAAGTATATGTCAACCCAAAATGTAATATTCCTTATATGTGTCTTCAGTACCATGCACTTGTATGAAGTGGATCCTATTCTCTTTGTATTGCTTCCTTTGTGTGAAATCCCTGGTGTTTCTGCCAGTCATTCTGGCCTGATGTTAAGATCGTATGTGTATTGGTATTGCTAGGAAGAGCTCTGTGGCTAGGCCAAGAAGAGTCAGGACTGGCTCAAATATGCCATTGCCTATAGGTAATGCTACAATAGTTTTAAAAATATGCTTGTCCAAGAATGCCTTGACATTTTCTGCTGCTCCTTTCAATCAAGAGGACCTAGCTTTATTGTTATGAGCTTTATTGTTCTTCTTCTTCTTATTATTATTACTGTCAAGGTTAATCACTTTCGCCTATCTAAGCCATGTTGCTGAGCATTGGAGGGGTGGATGACACGGGTGATGCTGGTGTATACAGTGCTGTATTTAGGTTTTGTGCTGCCCTAGGCAACACAAAAATCGGATGCACCCCCTCCCCGGCAGAGAGAGCCTGACACCAACCAATACGAGTGACCAACAACACCCCTGCCCCATACCCCTACCCAAAAGAGACTTCCACTAAACACCCCCCCCCCCTTCCCCAAGGTGACCAACAACACCCCTGCCCCATACCCCTACCCAAAAGAACCTTCCACTAACACCCCCCCCCCCTTCCCCAAGGTGAAAGAGAGAATGACACTCACCTTCACAGCTCTGGACATCCCCAGGAATGATAATCGGGCTCTGCATACACCATCAAGCAGCCCACCGTGTCTCTCGGATCCCACCTAATCCCCATGCCGCATATGTCTTTTTTTCAAGGGGGCAGTGCTGCCCCCCTAAAAAATGCTGCCCTAGGCAAATGCCTTGTTTGCCTTGTGGTATATACGCCCCTGGGTGTATAACTGAAGCCAATAGAGCTGAGAGGCATTCATTGATGCAAGAAAAGGGTGGCTTTAGGGCCAGGGTAAAAAAAGTATCACCGCAAAAGTGATGACCCCACGGAAACCTTGAGCTATTCAACGACAACTGTCATAAGTAATATCAGGCATTCAAGTATGGGGAGAGTCTGTGGGATGTGTGGGGGAAAGAAAAAAAAAGAGTAAAAATAGAAACAGAGAGTGAGGCTAGGAAGTATTGGGTGGGGGGGATAGGGAAGGAGAAGGGGTCCCAGGGGGAGGGGAAAACAAGGAGTCCCAACGGAAGGCTCCAAAAACACATGCTAGTGTGCATGTCAAGGAGAAAATAGTGTCTCACCACAGTCAACGGGTAAGTAATGATCTACCCATGGTTTCCACAGTTGTTCATACTTATTCACCCTATCCAAAAGGACTGTCTCGATCTTGGCATGTATAATGGTCTGGGTAATTCTAAGTTTAGTTTTGAGGACAGTTGGGGAGATTTCCAAACGTTTGCAATGGTTTGCTTTGCTGCGGTGGTAACCTGCAGAAATAATTTGAACTGACGCTGGGTCTTGTCTAAGGATTTCTTAACAAGCAGGGCTGTGACTGGGTCTATGTTTAAGGGACAGTCAAACAGAGTGGTAAGTATATGAAAAAGTTCAGCCCCAAAACTTTGAACTATCAGACAGCCCAACCAGATATGGTGGTTTTTACCTGTTTTGTGACAGCCACACAAGCAGGAGGGGGTAGGGAGAAATTTAGAAGTCTGGGCAGGGACCAGATACCACCTTTTGTAGGCCCGAATAAGATTGGCAGAAGGCCATATGTGAAACGAAGTAGTGGAGGTCCAGGTTGGGTAAAAGGCCAGGTTGTGAAGGATAAAAGTAGGTTGTGAGACGACAGTACGCAAAATTGTAGATTTTATGTGGACTGGGATTGCCAGGAAGAGCTCTTTGGCTAGGACAAAAGAGTTCAGGATTGCCTCAAATCTGTCATTGCCTATACGTCATGCTACAATAGAGTTAAAAATGTGCTTGACGAAGAGTTCCTTGTCATTTGTATGCTACTTCTTTCAATCGAGGGGGTCTAGCTTTATTGGGATGGGCTTGTTATAAGGATTCTTCTTGGAAGCCTCCCCAATTGGTCAAGATATGTCCAGTTGGGGAGGCTTCCATGATGTCAAGATTGTAGGTTTTATGTGGATTGGGATTGCCAGGAAGAGCTCTATGGCTACGCCAAGAGGGGTTATGACTGACCTGTTTAGCCTACTCCTGTATCCTGCTCCATGCACAGTTTTTCAGAGAACTGTATCTAAAAAAAGACAGCACTGAAGTAAGTGCAATTTACATATTAAACTTGCCTTTAACTATCCTTTCTAAAAAAATATATCCTGGAGCTCTCCTTTAAAGTGTATCTGTTACGGATCCGCCAGGTGGCACCTCTGGCAGCCCACTAGGCGGAATCACCCGGAGCGTGGAGTCTAAATCCCGGTCTGCGTTTTCACCAGGGCCCCTGATGGTGGGGATGGACTTGGAGCAGAACCGGGACCAGGTCATGACCTCTGAGCAATACCACCCATGGCAGAGGGAGCCTCCGGGGATAAGAGTAGGACAGAATAGAGCCAGATGTGAGGATGCCGGCAGGACCTGGCAGGATAAACCGGCGGTTGTCACCGTGGGAAATGGCGTGGTACCGAGACGGCAGGCAGAGAGTGGTCAGGTCACACGCAGGGTCAGTTACCGGAGTCAGTCCGCGGAATGGTCAAACAAGCCGGGAGTTGTTGTACTTGGTTGGTCCTCTCTGTTTGCCCATTGGTCTGGGGATGGTAAGCGGACGAGAGTGACAACTTGATTCCCAATGCTTCGCACAAGGCCTTCCAAAACCTTGAAGTGAACTGGGCTCCCCGATCTGATACTATATCCTCGGGAACTCCATGTAGTCTTACTATTTCCTTGATAAATATTCGTGCAGTTTCCGGCGCTGATGGTGTCTTTTCCAGGGGTACGAAATGGGCCATCTTAGAGACGCGATCGACAATCACAAATATGGCAGTGTGGCCTTGAGATGGTGGGAGTTCGACAATGAAGTCCATGGCTATCATTTGCCAGGCCCTCTTTGGAATTGGCAACGGGCGCAACAATCCCCAGGCCTTGCTTCTGGAGGGTTTATTCCTCTGGCAGGTAGGACAAGTCTGAACGTAG